AAAGTTCTAGTTTCATGGCGCTGTAATTTGTCATGTTCTTCTCTGATTCCTTCAGAGCTCGACTGGCATACGCAATAACCCTGAAACCTTGTTTTTGTTGTTGTGATAGCACAGCTCCCAGACCTTTAGAGCTGGCGTCGATTTCTAACCGAAATGGTTTGTCAAAGTCCGCGTATCCCAATATCGGCGCCTCTGTCAAAGCCTTTTTCAAGAGCTTAAACGAGTTCAGGCATTCATCAGTCCATAATTCACCTATCCGGTGTGTTTTACCTTTCTTTTTCTCCTTACTGTGTTTCTTTGTCATTTTGTTTACCAAGTCATGCAACGGTGCGGCAATTTTTGCAAAACCAGGTAGAAATTTTCTATAATAGGAAGCAAAGCCCAAGAATGATCTGACCTCTACCGTAGTTGTTGGTTGTTTCCATTCTTTAACAGCTGCAATTTTATCTGGGTCAGTGGCGATGCCATCCGACGAAATCACATAACCCAAAAAATGTACCGATTTCAGACCAAAGCAGCATTTGTCTGGGTTCAGCCTTACTCCTATCTCCCTAAGACGGAGAAACACTTGTTCTAATCTTTTTAGATGGTCCTCCCAAGTTTTTGAGTAAACTAGAATATCATCCAAGTACACCAACATTATTTGAAATAGAAAGTCACTCATAGCACTCTGCATTACTCGCTGGAATGTAGCAGGTGCATTAGTCAAACCAAACGGCATACGGGTCCACTCGTACAGTCCCAGTGGAGAAATAAATGCCGTTTTATGTTGATCGTTGGGGTGCATGGCCACTTGGTGGTAGCCACTAGCCAAATCCAGGGTAGAAAAAAATCTTGCTCCCCCCAACGCATCAAGACACTCATCAATACGAGGCAAGGGGAATGCATCCCTTCTTGTGATATTGTTCAATTTCCGGTAATCACAACACAGTCTTATCTCCCCTGACTTCTTTTTTACCACTACTATCGGTGCCGCATACGGGCTTGTACTGGTTGTAATAATTCCCTTTTTTAGTAGATCATTCAGGTGTGCTTTCACCGCCGAGTAGTGACTTGGTGGTAATCTTCGGTAGGGTTGCGCCACCGGCTTGTCTTGTAGTAAGGGTATCTGGTGTTTGATTACTTCCGTGTACCCCAAATCACCCTCATACGAGGCAAATATATCACTGTATTTATTCAGCAATTCATTTAGTTTTGGGTCCTCAGTTTCCGGGAATGTATATGATCGGCCATCCTCTTTCTTCACCTCGGCCGTCACATTGACCGACCTAATTGTTACTTCATTACTGCTGGTATTGATCAGTTCGATGCACTGTGCCGACCTTTGTACCTCGACGTTCTGTGGTACTCCTACCAGAGTGTTAGGCGGTATAAAAATTTCCTCATCCAAAACATTAGCTACCAACCCTTGAACTAGTCCGTTTTCCGCTGATGTGTATGTCCGCAGTAACACGACGCCTGCCCTCAGTGCGGCGCCACATGGTTCTATCATCACATCGCCATTTACACTTCTATCACCGATTTGTAATGTGATTGCCTTGACCGTGTTTGCCGGGACTGCTGTCCTTCCTCTGGTCTTGGCAAACCTGGCCAACTTGGATCCCCGATCTGATGTGGGCGATCCGACAATATTTGTAAGAAATTCTGGCAACTGGCCAAGAATATTCATGCCCAACAGGCAAGGTATATTTGACACATTTGTCTGTAGGTTGTGTTTCGTAACGAACACCCCAACCTGCTTCAACCTATGTCCCGCCACCACGACATCCGCCAGAAAATAACCACAGTATGGAATGGTTAATCCATTAGCTGCCGTCAGGCGCATGCTTGTGTCACACCTTAACCTATTGTCTTTTCCTTTCATCCATTTGGTGTAAAATTGTTCCGTAATTGTCGTCACCTGGGAGCCTGTATCCACAATTGCCTTCACCGCGATGTCCCCAATCGTAATCACCATTTCGGGACAGACTCCCATCATTTTGCTTCTTGGGCCATAACCTCGCCCCTCTGTAGCCTGGCCCTGCCTTACAGAGGACGACCGTTTCCCTGGCAGTACCGTGCCATATGTCCGGGTTGTGAACAAGACAAACAAATTGGTCGGCCGTCGGCCGTCCATTGGAGTGATGGCTTGGCAGGACGCGGCCGTCCAACCCGTCCCTGTTTTGTCCCGTTCTTTTCCTGATTCTCAGCTGTTGACCTGCTTTCTAACCTCTCCAAACGTTGGTCAACCTTATCTAGGTGGGCCAACAGTTGAGCCATCATGGTCTCCATCGTGTCGGCCCCTGTGGGTGGGGATTGTCTCTGTTCAGGCACAGAGACTTTGTCCACCGAACAGTTCGATTGGTCCTCATCCTCGGACCTGCGGATCGCTGAGTTCCTGACCTGAAGGAAGGTCAACTGCGGGTCTTTGTGGACCTCCTCTTCCAACTCTCTTCTTAGGATCGGGGTTGCCAGCCCCTCGATGAAATGGTCCCTCAGTAGGCGCACATCAATGTCAGGTGTTTTGACCTTTACCGAATCAAAGGCCCTGTTCATCCGGTGTGAGTACTCCATCACACTCTCCGCCAATCTCTGCCTTAAGCCTACGAACCCTGCTAGCAGTTGCGATCCCGACCGTCTCTCCCCAAAGGTCTCCATAATCAGATCCAGCACCTTATCTGGATCTGATTGGATGGTTTTATCGTGGCATTTGACCTCTGCCCTAACCGTCTCTCCTATACTGCCCATCAGCAGTCTTAATCTCTCCTCTGGTGACATGCTTCTCGAGGCCCAGGCCGCTTTGACCTCTTCACTGAACCTGTTGGTTAAAGTTGGATCACCGTCCCCGTAAAATTTGTTAATGTAGGACTCTCTGGGTAGGACCACTATATGGGTCTGCTTCTCGTCCAGAGTAGACATTTTATTCCGTAAGTAAAACAAAAGAGTTCTTTCTTACCGTGTGTATATGAAAAAAATTTTCCTCGATTTTCACAGTTCCTGAATGTCAGAATTCACACACACACTAAACACAGTTATGCACAAGGTTGACTATGGGTGCCTAACTCGGCAAGTCTAGTTGAATTCATCCTGTTCGCAGCGCCAATTGTGACCTTCCCCGAGTCTATCCTGCCCGACGACGCCAATTGTAACGAGCGAGCAGTTATCCTGTCCGACGACGCCAATTGTAACGAGCGAACAGTTACCCTGCTCGCAACGCCACATGTTACGAGATTATTTGCCTGTAGTGCCAAATGTAACGAGTTTAACCACTCATGCTACACAACATCGACTACAGTAGAAATACTCGAAGATGCAGGTTCGCTATTGATCCTTTTATTACATGAATCAAGAAATGCTTCAAAATAACACAATGAATCAACAGGAATGCTTCACAATAATAGTCTGAATCAACTGACCCCTAACAGTCCTCACTAGGCTTCATATAACTGAATCCACATGTCTATCGTCCTTCTTAACACAAAATACGGCTAACCCGTTCTATCTCCAACTTGATATGTCACACAGACTGACTGATCTAAAGCGAGCGATGAAGAGAGGGGAAGAGAACGAGTTCAGCCGTCCCCTCCTATTTATCCCTTGTATTCGTACTCATCTTCGTACTTGTATTCCTCCGTAATCGATACTTGTACTCGATGTCTCCGACCACTAGTTGCGCAGTTCTAACGTACAGTCCGTGTCATCAACATCTGCATCCTATCAATCAAAGTTGACAGGCCGTCTGAATCCCCTCGTACCGTTTCCCAAAATAGCACGCGTTGGCTTTGAGATTGTTATCAGTCCGATCCAATAAGCCACCTGCTATCGGTTGCGTCAGACTGTAATACTGCGTCTCGGCTTATCGTTCGTTATCAGATTTGTGACTAGTAGCTAGGCCCACCCTAGCTACATATATATATATATATATATATATATATATATATATATATATATATATATATATATATATATATATATATATAATCTAATGTGCTGACGTATATCCCAAACATCTTAGCCCCCCCCCCCCCCCCCTCACTTAAATCTTCAACATCTACTTCGCTTTTTCATTCCTCAAAACACAATTTTCTACAAGCAGTCATTTGACTCCATCAGTCTTTAGTGAGTCTTTACCTAATGCCATCTCTCTAACCAATGCTCTACCCCCCCCCCCACATGACCCACCAAATTTACCACCCCCACCCATCTACTCCACTCCCCCACCCCTTACCCTTGTACCACGACCGCCACCTTGACAACCCCACTTCCAGCTGTCAAGTGTCAAGTTCAGTAACACGTTTTTTGTCATGTTCAAGTTGTGGGGGCTTGTCACCGCAACAGTGCTAATGATGTCACGTGATTAGTACATGTGTTTGTGTCTGTGGGTTTGTGTGAGGGTGTCTGTCCGGGGGTGTGTGGGGGTGTGTGGGGGTGTGTGGGGGTGGTATTGTGGTCGCCTAAACAACTTCGGTGGCTATGTCTATGGAGGAGGGAGTAATGGGGGGGGGGGGAGGATCATTGTCACCACCGCACCATTGTGGCCCTGCCCCTCTTACAACATCCGGTTACTCTTTCTCTCACCTGCCTGCATGTTAACTTCCGCCATGTTGGCGTCCAACACCTACAGTGTGGTACCTTCAGAGAGGTCATTAACCCCAGGGGTCACTAACCCGTATGGATGTAAAGATTTACATTAGAAGAATATGTAAGCTTCTTGAAATGTAATAAACTATACTTAAAGTTATGTTTTAGTGATAACACTTGTGATAACTATGGTACAATACCCAAATTAAACCCAAATTAAGATTTCCATACACTTCATTAAAATTTCCATACGAGTCAATGCCAGACTCGTTAAGGATGGAGAAGTCTAGCCCAGTTAAGTTTGTAAATTCCTCTATTGATGTATTACATAGCGTCTCGCCCAAAACAATGATGTACGGCGCTGATTTGGTGCTGGCTTACGCTCCACAGGGAACCACGACAATTAATTAATTACTAATGACCTATTTTCTTCCCCCCAGAGATGAAGCTCTGTCCATCTTCGCCAAGTACCAGGTCAGCTTCGCCAGACGGCTCAAGAAACCGGAAGCCATGAATATGCTAATGACCGAGTTCAACCTCACCGAAAGCGAGGCTGAGATTTTCTTCCAGGCCTTCGATAAAGATCACAACGACGTGCTTAGTCTGTGGGAGTTCCGGCAGTTCTACCAGACGATTGGTGCCAAGTGAGTAGCTATTTATAGCACAGGGGTTTCCTGGTGTGGATTACACCGAGCATGCTCATTCACACAAAAAAACCGAATGATTTGCTATTTATAGAATGGGTTTCTCCACATGCATTGAGCATGATTTCTTGTTTACCTACATCCTACGTATAAACTATTTATAGAACTTTCTTTTTCTTTCATGATGAACGTGCTTTGCTCACCTGAAAAAAAAATTTGCTATAAATAGTTCGGATTCCCTCTTCGGATTAAACCTTGAAACATTAAAGCTTGGTCTTTAGAGTATCTAGGCAACCTTTATCAATGCCAGATTTAATATGTTGGTGAAAGTAAAAAAAAAAAAAACGCTACATGCATCATAGTGCTTGATTGACTCAAATAAATCTAGCGGTTAAAAAATATTTGAACACAGAATTTGCGTGGTAAATGCGTTCTCTACCACCTCATGTCTGTGTAGACTGTTAATAAACCTTATAGAAAACATCAATCCATCCCCTCCATAGTCTGGATGCTACAATGGTCATTTTGACCAGCTGTCTCCATGATTCTATACCCAATGACGTCATTAGTTCCCCCCCCCCCTAGTATTAGACCCGTCCATTCCCTTAAATCTTTTTTTGTCTGTTTTTTTTTATTAAACTTATCTCGTGCCTTGTAAGAAAATCTTGTCAAAATCAAAGTTTTTTTTTAAAGCAAAGCAGAGTTTCTTTCAGACTTTTTTCTCGGGGGTGTGGGCTGCCGAGGGGGGGAGGGGTTATGGGACACTGGTAAAAGTATATACTTTCTGTATAAAATATAGTTCGTTCAACCCCCCCCCCCCAAGCTATGCCTAAAAGCAACATTGAAGCAAAGTAACATAATTTTTTTTTTTTAATTTTCATTTATCAGACCTGTATTCTAATTAGAATTTAGAATAAAACAATGTTTAGGCTGTCCTTTCATTAATGTTGACCTTGATTTGCTCCACAGCGCGCATGACATGATCGAGCTATTCCGGAAGTTGGAACAGGAAGGTTCCGGTACTGTGGACATCGACAAGGCCTTCGACGAGCTGCGGGCAGCAGACAGCGGGAAGGGGAAGCTATCCGACGACGAGATCGCCATGTTTCTACGTACCACAGCCGGGGACTCTAAGACCATTGACCTCCACAAGTTTATCAACATGATGTGCAGGCTCAAAGTTTACAAAGGGATGGAGTAAACATCGGGACTATCACGTGACTGGGGAAAATAAATGCGGATCGGATGTTTGTGAATGGATTAGTGAGGATGAATAAGTAAATGTTGGGAGCGGTGTGACGTCATGGCAATGCAAACGTATGTGGCGTCATGAATGGGCGAAATTTTTTTTTGACGTCATGACATTGCAAGTATATATTCTGTACATACAGTTTAATCCGACATATCGTTGAACTAGCCCAGGTATTTAAATACATATATCACATTGTATGTACATTTATATTTACACTTTAAAATACATTGTTGGAAAGCGTTAAAGGGAAATAACGCTGTTAATCTTAATAGGTGTTTTCTTTTTAACAGTTCGCTCCCTTGGTTGATAATTTTTATTTTTTTTATTTTATTAAATCAATGGAAATTCTTTATTTCTAAAATAAAATTAGTCATTTGGGTATTAATAATACCTAGTTTTAATTTACAAACTTAAAAATGATTTTTCTTTTAATTTTGGAAAATATTTTAAAATTACCCAAATGGATGTATTGTTATGAGTGAAAATGTTTGCTTTTTAAAACTTAAAACAGTTTAAAAATTGATTTCGGTAATAGTACTAGGCATAGTTATTTTTATCGCATTCTTGAGCTATTGCTGCAATGTCCTCTGTTATTGTTATATTTCACAACAAACTACGTCCCTTGTTGACATTCCAACCTTTGCTTTAAGACGCAAAATAAAGTCAGCTCTTCTATAAAAAGCAATAAACACTTGCTCCACGCCCCTTTAATTTAGATTCCTGGATGGTTTTTTCTATAGAAATTTGTAGCTGCTGCGTTAGTCAGAGAGAATCTCAAACAGTATCACACAAGTGGTGTAATATTAGTGGTTTTCATTTAAGTGATAGATCACATGTAACTAAAAGCATCTAGTCAAAAAAATGGACTGGTTTTAGAAGTTGTGAAAGCATTTGGCATGACAGGAATGTCAGTGTGACATTTGACATGACAGGAATGACATTGACAAATCTGGCAAGGGAGGACTGTCAGTGACACATGTCAGTACATGCCAATCATTGTCTACCACACACTGCCCAGTGTCACGTGCCTCAATGCTGCATACTGGGTCAGTCACATGACTTCTTCAACCAATCATATAACTTGGTATCACCATGTCTCAAGTCACATGACTTCTTCAACCAATCAAATAACTTAATATCACCATATGTCTCAAATGCTGTCTCTCCACACATAATAAATGAACTGGAACACTCAATTAACACAACTACATATGAATGCCATTTTTAAAAAAAACATTCTAAGTTTTACACTTAAGATTGCAATGTATGCAAAATGACCATATTTTTAACAATTTCTATTGTTTATATTTTTAAAAATGTAACACCATGTAAGACCTAATACATAAAAATTCTGACTAAATTTGTATTTACAAATTTAACTTCTAGATAAGTTTAAAGCAATACATTCTGAAACTGATCTATGTACCACTGTGTAGCATTCGGCACCCGTGTACAATTTTTTTTAGAACCTTTGTGAGACCCTCTTGATATGGAGCCCATAAAATTTTTTTCAGCATGTTTCAACATGCTGTTGTATTTAAAAATGTATTTCCTTGTTAACTTTGAACCAGGGATATTGTACACTTGTGACAATAAAAACTATTTTACTTCTGTGTCTGGGTTTGCATTTCTTTATGTGAACGTAACTTAATATTCACTGGTGCTGATGGTGTTATTTTTAGATAACGACTTCAGCTGGTCGTAAAAACTCAATGTAGCAGGAACTTACATATGCTATCTTTTGCTACATTTCTTACAAACATTATAACTTATTTAATTCAGTGTGTGGTGAAAGTACTTTTAAAATAATCTTTAAACTTAAATTAGATTTTAAAATTATTTATGAACATCTCAGTACAGATGAAGGAGAGCTTCTTTTCATTTACACAAAAACTGAAACAATTTACATTAATTCTTCCTATTCATTGAGTTGTCTGTGCTTTTAAAGGGGTAGATTTTTTAAAATGTTGTTTTGATATGGCCAGTTACTTTTAAATCTTATATATAGTCTATCATACATTTGCCGCAATAGGTGACTAGATAGATTTAACAAAAAGCCAGCTTGAATTAGTTCAGTGAATATCTCATTGATATAGTTTTATTAAATAGAGAATTTGTCATTCAGATCATGTGTCATCGGTTGTGTATCATTGTCATACAGGTTCAGCCTTTGTCATCAGATACTAGTGCTTGTGTCTTCTAATGTCAGTGTGTCATCTTGTGCCACAGCTGACATCATCTGTTGCCACAGCTGATGTCATCTGGTGTCAGGACTAATGTCATCTGGTGTCAGGACTAATGTCATCTGGTGCCACAGCTGATGTCATCTGGTGCCACAGCTAATGTCATCTGGTGCCACAGCTGATGTCATCTGGTGTCAGGACTAATGTCATCTGGTGCCACAGCTGATGTCATCTGGTGCCACAGCTGATGTCATCTGGTGTCAGGACTAATGTCATCTGGTGTCACAGCTGATGTCATCTGGTGCCACAGCTAATGTCATCTGGTGCCACAGCTGATGTCATCTGGTGTCAGGACTAATGTCATCTGGTGCCACAGCTGATGTCATCTGGTGCCACAGCTGACATCATCTGGTGCCACAGCTGATGTCATCTGGTGTCAGGACTAATGTCATCTGGTGCCACAGCTGATGTCATCTGGTGCCACAGCTGACATCATCTGTTGCCACAGCTGATGTCATCTGGTGTCAGGACTAATGTCATCTGGTGTCAGGACTAATGTCATCTGGTGCCACAGCTGATGTCATCTGGTGCCACAGCTAATGTCATCTGGTGCCACAGCTGATGTCATCTGGTGTCAGGACTAATGTCATCTGGTGCCACAGCTAATGTCATCTGTTGCCACAGCTGATGTCATCTGGTGCCACAGCTAATGTTATCTGGTGCCACAGCTGATGTCATCTGGTGTCAGGACTAATGTCATCTGGTGCCACAGCTGATGTCATCTGGTGCCACAGCTGATGTCATCTGATGCCATAGCTGATGTCATCTGGTGCCATAGCTGATGTCATCTGATGCCATAGCTGATGTCATCTGGTGTCAAGACTAATGTCATCCGGTGCTACAGCTTATGTCATCTGGTGTTAGGACTAATGTCATCTGGTGTCAGGACTAATGTCATCTGGTGTCAGGACTAATGTTATCTGGTGTCAGGACTAATGTCATCTGGTGCCACAGCTAATGTCATCTGTTGCCACAGCTGATGTCATCTGGTGTCAGGACTAATGTCATCTGGTGCCACAGCTAATGTCATCTGGTGTCAGGACTAATGTCATCTGGTGTCAGGACTAATGTCATCTGGTGTCAGGACTAATGTCATCTGGTGTCAGGACTAATGTCATCTGGTGTCAGGACTAATGTCATCTGGTGTCAGGACTAATGTCATCTGGTGTCAAGACTAATGTCATCTGGTGTCAGGACTAATGTCATCTGGTGCTACCGCTAATGTCATCTGGTGTCAGGACTAATGTCATCTGGTGCCAGCCACATCCTCCTCCTCCTCCTTCCCCAAGAACCTGCTACAGCAGAACGACGCCTCTGGTAGGTTTGACAGCGCCACGTGAACATCTTGTCTGGTCAATGTTCCATTACAGCTGGAATAAAACAATTTTTTTACAACTTTTTTTTTTATTGCTACATCTGCATCAGCTGAAAAATCACAAAATCATTCAACCATGACAAGAATGGGTCATCTGTGAATTCTGTGGACTACCCTTGTTGGAGACAATAAAAGCAACTGAGCATAGAACTGACCACACTATGATTTCATTATGCTGAGGTGACAGAAACAAGTGGACAATGACACATAGTTCTATACCAGAAAAATATGGACCATAAAACCTTGTTCTATACTAGAAAAATATGGACCATAAAACATAGTTCTATACTTGAAAAAAATGGACTATAAAACATTGTTCTTTACTAGTAAAATATGGACCATAAACCATTGTTCATTATTAGAAAAATATGGACCATAAAACCTTGATCTGTACTAGTAAAATATGGACCATAAAACCTGGTAAAATACAAGTGAAGTATGGACCATAACAAATTGTACAATGTTTAACAAACCTGGGTGATTGTGAATTGACAGACAGAGACTCCCTTAACACATCAGCCGTGAACTCCAGCATTGCCTGAAAGAGAAAACAACATCAACTTCTTCAGAAACAAAACGAAAAGGTTCTAAACAGACATTTTGTAACAGAGGATTCCAAAAATAAGACTTGCTTGAGTTGCAGGTGGCATCATTTCTCTTGTAGCAGCTTCACTGTGGCTAGCATCTAAGTCAAGTGTTTTGAAACTACTTAAATATAGTAGACTATTCTGACTAGGTGGATTGTCTAATTAAACTAGGTGACAAGACTATTTTGACTTGGTGAATTTCTGACTAGGGAGAGACTATTCTGACTAGGTGACTAGACTATTCTGACTGGGTAACTAGACTATTCTGACAAGGGAAGACTATTCTGACTAGGTGAAATGCCTTTTTAACTAGATGGCTAGACTATTCTGACTAGGTGACAAGACTATTCTGACAAGGGAAGAATATTCTGACTGGGTGACTAGATTATTCTGACTGGGTGACTAGACTATTCTGACTAGGTGACTAGACTATTCTGACTGGGTGACTAGACTATTCTGACTAGGTGACTAGACTATTCTGACTAGGTGACTAGACTATTCTGACTGGGTGACTAGACTATTCTGACACGGGAAGACTATTCTGACTAGGTGACTAGACTATTCTGACTAGGTGACTAGACTATTCTGACAAGGGAAGACTATTCTGACTAGGTGAAATGCCTTTTTAACTAGATGGCTAGACTATTCTGACTAGGTGACAAGACTATTCTGACAAGGGAAGAATATTCTGACTGGGTGACTAGATTATTCTGACTGGGTGACTAGACTATTCTGACTAGGTGACTAGACTATTCTGACTAGGTGACTAGACTATTCTGACTAGGTGACTAGACTATTCTGACTGGGTGACTAGACTATTCTGACTAGGTGACTAGACTATTCTGACTAGGTGACTAGACTATTCTGACTAGGTGACTAGACTATTCTGACTAGGTGACTAGACTATTCTGACTAGGTGACTAGACTATTCTGACTAGGTGACTAGACTATTCTGACTGGGTGACTAGACTATTCTGACTAGGTGACTAGACTATTCTGACTGGGTGACTAGACTATTCTGACTAGGTGACTAGACTATTCTGACTAGGTGACTAGACTATTCTGACTAGGTGACTAGACTATTCTGACTAGGTGACTAGACTATTCTGACTAGGTGACTAGACTATTCTGACTAGGTGACTAGACTATTCTGACTGGGTGACTAGACTATTCTGACACGGGAAGACTATTCTGACTAGGTGACTAGACTATTCTGACTAGGTGACTAGACTATTCTGACTAGGTGACTAGACTATTCTGACAAGGGAAGACTATTCTGACTAGGTGAAATGCCTTTTTAACTAGATGGCTAGACTATTCTGACTAGGTGACTAGACTATTCTGACTAGGTGATAAGACTAATCTGACTAGGTGACTAGACTATTCTGACTGGGTGACTAGACTATTCATGCTAGGGGAGACTATTCTGAGTAGGTGAAATGCCTATTTCAACTAGGTGATTCCGACTGGGTGACTTGATTATTCTGACAGGGTGACTAGACTATTCTGACTAGGGGAGACTATTCTGACCAACAAACAACCCACCTTAAAAACCATTTCAGCTGCAGTCAAAGCCACAACCCCAGGGACCAGTTCTGTTGGTCTCAGTCTCTGGCCTCGCTTTGAGAAGAATAAAAAGTTTATTCATTTAATTTAAATACATTTTTACTTTAACTAAAAATATTACACATTTAATTTAAAAACATTATTAATTTAATGAAAGAAAGATTATTAATTTTATTTAAAAAGATTAGGCCTATTAATTTAGTAAAGAAAAATGATTTATTTTTATTTTAAAATATTCTTTATGTAATTTACAAAGATTCTATAATTAATTTTAAAAGATTATTAATTTAATTTAAAAAGATTATTAATTTAATTTAAAAAGATTATTAATTTAATTTAAAAAGATTATTAATTTAATTTAAAAAGATTATTAATTTAATTTAAAAAGTATTTAATTTAATTTAAAAAGATTATTAATTTAATTAATAAAGTAAAAAATTATTATAATATCTCGCAATTATTAAAATATGACCTTCATGAATAGATGCCTTAGACAGATACTGAAGCTGAGATGGCAGGACAAAGTGCCGAACTTGGAACTATGGAGGAAAGCTAGGCAGGAGCCTATATGTGTGAAAATAAGAAGGAGGAAGTGGCGCTGGGTGGGTCACACACTGTGAAAGGCTCACACAAATGTTACACGCCAAGCGCTTGAGTGGAACCCCCAGGGAAAGCGGAAGAGAGGGCGCCCAAGACAGACCTGGAGGCGGAGTCTTCTTGAAGAACTGAAGCCAATAGGGATGTCTTGGGAGATGTCAAAATTAATAGCCGAGGATAGGAAGAAATGGAAGGAAATGGTGGAGGCCCTATGCTCCATAAGGAGCAAAGAGGACTAAGTCAAGTAAGTCAAGTCATTAAAATATGCCACAAAATAATAAAATCACCACAAACAAAACAATAAATAAAACTGGAAAACTTATAGTTTACATGACAAAGAATGAGAAGGTCTGAAAATATTTCCTGAAGATTTGAAAAACAACATGGCTGCCTTACCTTTCTGAGCTCATCATAAACAAATATGGCGCCCTCTGTTGGTTCAATCCACTGTACATTCAGAGAACACTGATCATTGTCCTGTTTACCTGCAGGACATTGGTCATTGTCCTGTGGGACCAGAGGACACTGGTCTTTGTCCTGCTTGGCCAAGTTTACTTTAGGAACATCATCTGTCAATGATTCTATTGTTAATTCAGTACCCAAGTAGCAGATAAAAAGTGTAGGAGCAGTGGTTGATTGTAAGTAAAAAGTAAAGTTCTCTTATCAAACCTGATGGTCTATAGGGCAAGTGAAGTAGAGTTCACTTGTTTCTGTGACCTCGGCATATGAAGGGATAGTGTGGTCACCACTATGCCCAGCCGCCTTTACTTTCCCTAACGTGAGTTAGGTACCCATCTGAGTTGGGTGGACTCAGGGACAGTCTACTGACTTGAACCCAGATTCGAGCTCGAGACACATGGGTTAGAAGTCCAGCTCTCTACCGCTAGACCACTCCGTCCCCAGTGGTTGATTGACATGAAGAATAAATGCAAGTTCTGTATGTATAGTAACATTTCAAATGAGCTTTATAAATATTTCGCTTATCTCAGATATTCAACATCAGTCTTTATATTTTGCCATACTTTTTCACTTCAAAAAGTTCCAAGTTTTACATTCTAAAAGAGCGAGATAAAAAAAATGTGTATAACCAGAATTAGTAACATCGATCTCATCATCCACCCCACCAGCGCATGCTGCTGTCAGGTCAGACAATTTGGACATTATCTCTGTCACTGGTGTGTATGACGTCCAGTTTTCTGGCTTCATTTCCTGCCTCACCGGCTGCTTCTTTTCTGGGGGAATAAACCAGTTTTTGTGTTACTCTAGTACCAGGTGTGTGTGCATGTGTTTTGATTCAGGACAGGCTGCTTCTTTTCTGGGGGAATAAACCAGTTTTTGTGTTACTCTAGTACCAGGTGTGTTTATGAGTCTGGGTGCTTTGATTCAGGACGGGCTGCTTCATGCTGTCAGTTTTTTACTTGGGTTATAGAATAGATGGCACTGGATGGGGCACATCCTAAGGATGAATCCAGATCATTTAACAGGAACAGTGCTGAACTGGATGCCTCAAGGAAAAGGAAAACAGTGAAGGCCAAGGGAGACGTGGCGGAGCAGCTGGCAGAGGCAGGACTGTCATGGGGGACTCCATAGGAAAATTGCAGGAGACTGACAAAAGCGGTTAGAGCTTTCTGTGGCATCCTCATGTGTAATGGGTACAAAAGGGAAAAGATGATGATGATTATAAATGTGTATAGAACCAGGATTGGTCAAGTTGCTACTGACTAAATGGAACTTGACTGAATGAAGTCTGCTCTAAATGAAAGATGTCTGTACTGAGTAAATGTCTGCATTTGGTGCGTGAAATCTGCTCTGAGTGAATGAAGTCTGTAGAGTGAATGAAATCTGTATAGAGTGAATGAAGTCTGTATTGGATGAATGAAGTCTGCATAGAGTGAATGAAATCTGTATTGGATGAATGAAGTCTGTATTGGATGAATGAAGTCTGTATTGGATTAATGAAGTCTGTATTGGATGAATGAAGTTTGTATTGGATGAATGAAGTCTGTATAGAGTGAATGAAGTCTGTATTGGATGAATGAAGTCTGTATAGAGTGAATAAAGTCTGTATAGAGTGGATGAAATCTGTATTGAGTGAATGAAGTCTGTATTGAATGAAGTGTGCATTGATTGAATGAAATCTGTATTGAGTGAATGAAGTCTGTATTAAGTGAATGAAGTCTGTATTAAGTGAATGAAGTCTGTATTGAGTGAATGAAGTCTGCACTGATTTGAACAACTTACCAACCACACAAGGACTGAAGGCGTGGAGCCTACACCAGTTGACCAGCTGGCGTGTCGTCATCAATCTCTCACCACAAAAATCTGTCCTGTTCCCCAGGCACTGTTGCAAATACCTGTTTACAAAACACGCTCTGTGCCACTGAAGAGAATCATAACAAAGCTTTATAATGAAATTCTTTAGTTAAAAATTATTTTTTTAATCCGTCTTTTTTTTTTACTTAAACTTGCAAATCTTTTTTTAAAAAACCAAAATGGCAATGTGTTTTTATTCATTATATAGCATTGACCAGATTTTTCAAAATCATAAGCCCATGTTCAATAAAACAAAAAATGTGCACACATTATGAGATCAATTAAACAAAATACAAACCTCACAAGCTCTCTGCTTCCCCACTTGCCAGGAGTTCCACTGCTCCAGTGATTCAGCACAATATGGGTGGGTTAACCTATCTGTGTCAGGAAAATTTGATTTAACTTTAGTCGTTCAGTATCCCCTGCTTTCATTGATTTGTTAAATATTGTGGTAAAAAAATAGGGTAACAGTCCAGTAGGTTTTCTGACCAATCGTTGATACACTAGATATTATTTTGCTTTTGCATTTATATCAATTGTCCCAGGATGATCAATGTCCCTGGATGGACACAGGGACATCCAACAGACTAGGGTCAGATGTCCACCAGATCTGGATGGACCCAGGGATATACAACAGAAGCAATCTAGGAAGTAATCTCAAAACTGTTTCTCTTCTTCTTCTTCTTTGTTCTTGATTTAAGTGTTGGGAGGGATCCCCTCCAACACAATGAAGTATATGTGTCAACTGGTTATACGCGGTTGAGGCCATTGACTACGATTTGAGCCAGTTTTTCTATTTGGATTTGTTCCCATAGCCTTTGACCAACCAATAACAAACTACAAGACAGCAGTTGTTTGATTTTGGAGTTGTCTCTCCTAGTAGAGTGGCTGTCCCCAGCTAGTGAGCCTGGTATGCCCGAGGGTTCAAACTTTTTAGTTTTTAGCAACCATGAGCTTTACCGACTCGACCCCACCGACCCCCAAGACTGTTTGATATTATAGATACTTGTCAACTTTGAAAGAGACACTCAAGCCTTTACTTTCCCTAAAGTGAATCAGGTATCCATGAGAGCTGGACTCAGAGACATCCTGTAGTGTGGAGCCTGGACAGAGATCCTAACTCTAGACCTTTGGGGCTTGCAAGTGTATGTTGTGGGTTGTTTGAATTTTATGTATGTATGGGGTTTTGTCATAAACAATAATTGCTATGAAATGTTGGGCGTTGTTATAAACATTGTGTACTGTTAATAACATCTGTTGTCTTCTACCACAACACAAGAGAAACGAGCGCTAGACTTACTGACACCAGCCTGTATGAGAGGGTGAAGTCTGCAAGCTACTTTTAACATGGCTGTTAGATTGGGGTAGTCTGTAGGTCTGAGGGGAAAAAAATGAACAAAAATCTCTTTAAGTTATTTAATATTACCTTTATTCAACAGTTTTAAAATTTACAAATCAGTTTCAAATGTAACAAGTAAGTAGAGTACTCTAAATCAAGAGTTTATTTATTTCTCTGAACTTGGTGTATGTCAAGACAGTATGGTCAGCCCTATGTACAGTCACTTATATACTTTCCCAGACTAGAGCCAGGTACTCATCAGAGCTGAGTGAACTCAAAGGATGTTCAACTAACTAAAGCTTAGTCTTCCAGGTTAGTGATCATTAACCTTTAATGCCCGATCATGTCATACTCCAATTTAATAATTGTTTTTGTTTTAAATGTTAAGAAATTACTTGATTTTAAAAAAACTTCCATTAACAATTTTTTGTTTTTGTCCAGTCACATACATTAAAAACCCAGTGTAAACTTTAAATAAAATTCTATGTCATATAATTTCTTACACTGACCAAAGTAATTTTGTCTAAATTACAATATTAACAAATTTCATATGTATATATACTTGTACAAAATAATTGTATCAATCTAAAACAGGAACTTCAATAAACACATTGGTGTTTAATTCTCAGCAGGAGCAATAGTTTTACAAAATGTATTTGACCAAATTGCTAAAACAAAAATGTGCATAATTTTTATTGCATCTATCACTTACTCACAGCTCTTCATCATATGTTCCAACCAACATACAAGCTAAAGTATACAAAAACAAAAAAAGCTGCACTGAGACATTAAAAATAAAAAAGTAGAGTACCAAAATCACAAAACAAATCTATCGTGAATAAATTTTTTGTTTGTAAAAACAGAAATTTAACCGTAAAGCTTTGTTTTGGGGAATAGCTGAATACCCTGACAGTGCAAAAATTATGCTTGAGTTTAAAAAGCAAGCACATCTGGACTTCAAATGCTTACTCTATGCAACTCAATTACTTTTTCTTTTAAAGTCTTAAAATCTACCTTTTCAACATTGTAAACTTGGCCAGATAAACTTATAAAGGCCAAGCCATTTTGTCTAGGGTTATTTACATATACTGCACTCTTTGTTTTAACCAAATTATTTTTTAAAAAGCTCAAATTCACATTTTGTTACAAATCTTACAACAATTAGTGAATACATTGCCTAAAACATAAACAGCAGATGTACAAATAAATGGCACCTATCACATGCAGCTCTCAACACCACATTCACACTAAATCTGACTCACATGAGTGGGGGGATCTCATCCGCCTCCCCTTCCAGTCTGTCTCGCGCTGGTGGCAGCAGCTTTTTAGATTTCAGCGAGTGCCTGTCATACAGCTCTGGGTTTTCTTTGAACGCCCTCAGCACCTCGTACTGGCTTTTCTTCCTCTCCTCCTCTGTGGGGAATTTTTTCTCCACCGACAGGCCAGCTGTTTTATAGTGGTTCCTGCCGTGTTTGGTTACCCCCACGGCTGACATTTTAGGGTAAGGGTTGTGGGGAGCAGGGTTGGTCATGTGACTGTGCGTCACTATGTGTAGGGGGGGAGTTGGTTGGTTGACGAGCGAAACGTTTTGCTGCACGACAAAGTTTTTTAACAGTGAGATCTGCTTGACAGGTTGTTGGAGAGACTGGTTGGGGGAGACAAAGGTCAACGAGACTGGTTGCGACGAGGACGGGGCGATGTGGTGGTGGAGTTGTGAACTTGTTAGCTGGACGATGCTGTCGTTCACAGTCTGTGTGGAGCCTGGCTGCTGCACTAGCAGCACCTGATTGGTTGCTTTATTTAGCACCAGCTTCTGGTTGGGGGAGTTTGTCAGGAGGGACTGTGCAACCTTCTGGTTGGTGGGCGTGGACTGAGGGCCAACAACTCTCCCGGTGAGCAGAGAGACTTGCCGGGGTGCGGCCGGTTTACCAGCCGGCGAGGTGGGGGTAGCGCTGGAGTTTAACACAATCAGTTTTTGGATATTTGGAGAGCTCCTCTCAGTCTGCTGAATGTTGGCCACAGAGATGGGAGAGGAGACAGCCCCTGATGACAGCAACAGTAAGGGCTTGCCATTGTGGGCTAGTGTCGCAGCTTGTGTTAACATGCCTGGTTTTGATAACATCCCAGTTTGAGTCAACATGCCACTTTGGGCTAACGCGCCAGTTTTTGTTAACAATTTAGTTTGAGGTACTGCGCCAGTTTGGCTTAACGTGCCAGGTTGTAGACCAACTTGAGTCAACAAGCTTGAAGAGTTTTTGACAGCCAGCAGAGAGGTGGTCGGCCTGTTGATACCAGATGGGGCATTAATCACCGTAAAAGCTGTGGTCACCTTTTGCTCAGCACTTAGGGCTGAAGCAGCAGGGGACATAGTTCTGTTGCTTAAAAGACTGACTGCGGTGAGGACGGGTGGGTTTGGTGATGATGTGCCATGGCTTGACACAGCTGCTGTGTGCGTGTTAAGAGAAGTTCTAACTGCAGGTTTAATCAACGACTGGCCCCTTACAACAGTCAGCACGTTGTTGGTTTTGTTCACTGGCCGGACACCAGACGGCATCAAACTGGACGAGGTTGTTCGTATTGCTGAGGTACCCACAGAGGTCACCCTTGAGTTAGCCACAGAGCTGGTTAATGATGTATCCAGAATTTCCGTGATGTTGTCTGAAGATACAGGTACTGAATCACTACCAACATCCACCATATTTTCATCAGTGTCATGAGCTATCGTAACATTGTAGTCACTGATGAGTTCAATGTTTTCTTTCTTTAGCTCCATCTCCAAGCTTCCATCAGCAATGTCATGATCCACTAGAACATGTTCATCAACAGAGCTACAAGTTCTCTGAGTACCACCCTGCTCCCCACACAACATCGTATCTACAGTACTACTTGTGGTCAAGTCTTCTTCAACTGTCACATTATCAAAACACTTCGCTGATGGTGGTTTTTGTGCTGGACTTTTACCACTTGTGGTTTCAATTGTCACATTTTCAACCGAGCTAGATGTGGTTTTTCTATTTTTAGCAACGGCTGTGGATTTGTCTGTCTTTACCTCAACAGACTTGCGAACCGCCACACCATTTACACCAGACGTTGTGGTTTTGTCTGAACATACATCTGTAACTGTCATGTTTTCAGAAGATTTTGTGGGGGCGGGTTTATGTGCGCTGAAGTATTTATTCCCCGCTGGTGATGATGAGATGGGGTAAGATTGTGCTCCTGTGTGTCCAGTCATACACAATGAAGCATTTGATGATACAGTGCTGACTCCGTTCTCAAAGAAATCTCTCTCCAACTCCACTTCAACAATCTGCAATAAAATTTATTCACATCAACAATAGTTATTATGGTACAGTGTGGTCTAGCGGTAGACTGCTAAACCCAGGCCTGGATTTGAATCCAGGTTCGAGTCAGTAAAACATCCCTGATTTCACCCAGCTCTAATGGGTTCTTAAATCTAGTCAGGGAAAGTAAAAGCGGCTGTATAATGCTGATCATACTATCCCTTCATATGCCGAGCTCACAGAAATAATTAAACTCTACATCACTTGCCCCATGGACGGTCAGGTTTGAAAATAGTTAGTTTACTAACAACCGTTGTTAGTTAGAAAAGGTGTGGTAGAATGTTAGAACACTTGATCTAATAACATCTGGGAGTTGGGTTCCTGGGTTCAAATCTATAGAATGTTTAAGTACACAAAGTTCTAATTACTCGAATCATCCCTTATAATGCAGACATCTAAGAAGCTACAAATAAACTACCCTTCCGAATTCTCGCAAAGAGAATTGTTAACTTTTAACAAAATCTGTAATTTTTACACAGTGAACAGTTTTATTGTATAAATATTTTGTTCCACAAACTTTAAAAGTAAACAAAAGTTAACTTACTGTTTCTGCACCGGGAGTCTGCAGCCCTGTAAACGTTTTGTCCAGCTGTAGCAACAGAAAGTGCAAAAAATTTTTTTTTTAAATTGTTTGATCAATTGACTTAAAACAATGTCAATGTCACTTTGGTTAAGCTATCTATTTTGGCGACAATAAAAAATGAATTTTTCTTTAGCAGACTTGTTTGGCATCTGACCATTAACTAATTAACTTTGGAAAAATTGAATCACTTTAAATTTAATCCAACATTCAAGAAACAACTTATCTTGAAAACAAAAAAGCAATTTGAATCTAATGCAACACAATATTCATTAACTATTAACCTTGATATTGTTTATGATGACAGATTATGTTACCTTGAAATGGTGTTTATGATGAAAGAAGTTACCTTGAGATGGTGTTTATGATGAAAGAAGTTACCTTGAGATGGTGTTTATGATTATAGAAGTTACCTTGAGATGGTGTTTATGATGAAAGAAGTTACCTTGAGATGGTGTTTATGATTATAGAAGTTACCTTGAGATGGTGTTTATGATGAAAGGGGAAACCTTGAGATGGTGTTTATGATGAAAGGGGTTACCTTGAGATGGTGTTTATGATAAAAGACGTTACCTTGAGATGGTGTTTATGATGAAAGAAGTTACCTTGAGATGGTGTTTATGATGAACTAAGTTACCTTGAGATGGTGTTTATGAAGAAAGAAGTTACCTTGAGATGGTGTTTATGATGAAAGAAGTTACCTTGAGATGGTGTTTATGATAAAAGACATTACCTTGAGATGGTGTATGATGTCCACCTTCTTGTTACGACTGTCAATAAAATGGAGCTGGACCCTAACAGGAAATTCACCCCAGCCTCTCCTTGTCAAGTGGAAGGGGGGAGAGCTGAAAACAAACAGTTTAGTTTTAGATGTATCAAGTGAAAGGGGGTGAAATGAAAACATAGTTAACACGCAACTGGAAAATTTGTCAAATGGCTTACCTGTCCTATGAAGTCATTTGGCTTACAGCTGTGATGTAAGCTGTTAATGTGACTTACCTGACTTCAACCAAGTCAATTGGCTTATAGCTGTGATGTAAGCAGTTAATGTGACTTACCTGACTTCAACCAAGTCATTTGGCTTACAGCTGTGATGTAAGCCGTTAATGTGACTTACCTGACTTCCACCAAGTCATTTGGCTTACAGCTGTGATGTAAGCCGTTAATGTGACTTACCTGACTTCAACCAAGTCATTTGGCTTATAGCTGTGATGCAAAAAGAACCAGACTTTCTTGACAAAGTGCGATATGTCTGGATCTGACCTGGGACCTCTGACGTACATCATCCACTTATGGCTGGACATGTCATTGGCCTCGCGGTGATCTACTGGGATATACCTGTGAGACAAGAGAGACATGCTCGTTACATTTACTAATTTCATTTATATTTAAACATCTCTTATAGTTAGAGGCAAATGTAATTTTTCAACTTTAGTCAATGGTACATTCTAATTGACGTGATCAAGAAACATGAACTCTACTTCATCTGCCCTATGTTAGATCTGAAAGGGGAAGTTTACTTATAATTCAAACTATCAGTGACTTGATGGCACGCTCAAAATACTTTCTTCAATCAAAGATAAATTTCAAATCAATTAAACATAAGCCACTCCTTTTAAAAAGTACCTTTAATTTTACTGCAGATCAATAACATATTTAGTTTAAAACTGAAATTAACGTTGACTTTTTTTTACACTAAATAACCAAACTTACTTAGATATATTTCCAACAATTATCTTTCTCTTGATTTTAAAGCGAGCCCGCCTGTCATCGTAACCATCTGCTTCAGACAACCCTGACTTGTGGAGCTGCAATTTTAAAAAATTAAATATTTTGTTTTTAGAAACGGATCACTCAATTTTCTAATCTGCGAAGTTATAATTGACAACAAATTCTTGAGAAAAAAATCATTTTCCACAAATCCCAATTTTAAAAGAGGAGCAAGAATTAGCTACGGCCATAAAAATAGAAGAAATTATCAATTTTCTCAACAACAAAAAAAAAACCAATATGTTTTGTACTTCAGAAAAAAAAGTTTCTTCTCAACTATTTGCTATCTGTATTATAGACCTACCGAACTCGATGGTGTAGCCTGGAACTGTTTTGAAATTGATGGATCTGTGCCATTACATACACGCTTTGCTCTTTCTTTATCTGCACAAATAAAACAGAAAATACAACATCTTTACAAAATATAGCTTGAGTAAAAATAAAAGCAAATATTTCTGTGATCTTAAACTTGTTTTTATAATAATAATTTTTTTTTTACTATAATGGGTGAATTACACACCCAAACAAGAATCTGTGTCCATAGCCTCAGTCTGATGCTGGCTGGATGACCAAGCAGAATTACCATCCTGGTCACATGGGGCTTTCCCGATGTACTTCTTAACAGCAGGGTGGATACTGGGGGGCGGGGCATTCAGACTAGATACCTGCGATACCATGTTGGAATAAAATTATGTGAATAGGCAGTGAAGAATGATGACTAAGATAATAATTTGTATCAGTAACCATTTCCTCCACTCCATGTTACAGTCATTTTATGGTATGAAGTAAAATAATTTATAGAACTAGTGTCAATTCATTATTTTTAAGTTTACAGGTTATTTAATCTCAATGGTTATTTGTATTCAAGTTAAATATTTTTTAATTTAGCGCAATAAAAATTACTTGATTTAAACAAAACTTTAATTAAATTTTGTGTGTAGTCATCAGTCGTTAAAAAAAGCAAAATTACCTGAGATGATCCGGACTGGTTAACTTGACCATAATAGTTAGCAACAATACAAGCTCGCAGTCTGTCCATCATCAGTCTGGCTTCATTGAGGCGCTGTGGAGTTAAAGCAATAGGTAAATTTTAAGGTACTGCATCAGTCTGGCTTTATTGTGGAGATAAAGCAATAGGCAAATCATACAGTACTACATAAGTCTAGCTTCATTGAGAGCTGTGGAGATAAAGCAATAGGTTAAGCATACAGTACTGCATCAGTACTGTGGAGATAAAACAATAGGTAACTCTTAAGGTACTGACACCCAATAGACCATAGAGCATGTCGTAATTACTGCCAGCATTTAAGCTGGCTGAATATTGTGTCAGTGTAAAATTTTCAACATTTTCTGGATACTTAATGTCTATACAAATTGTCTTTCTTACTATACCAATATTAGGACCAACAGTCCTGCTAATGCTATAGCACCACAAGCCACTTACCCTATCAACCAGCTGGAGCTCTGACTCTTTGCTGTTAATTTCTCTTTGGAACTCATTCTTGACAATGTTTTGAATACGGCGAGATACAGCTTGTTTGGCTGTAAAAGAATATGACATATAGCAGTTCAACATTGCAATGATTAAACTTTTTAAGTGTTTTGGAGAAGTAATAAATAAAATTGTCAAATCAGTATATCCTAATTGAGTTTCTTCCCCACTACAAATTTTTAAAACCATTAGCTATTCTCCATAAAATGCACACAGAGTCTCTGATTATACTAAAATAGTGATTTATTCATACATCCACAGAACAAAATGAGACAGAGCTCAAACATAAAAATGAATTACCAGCACAGTATAACAAAAAAAAACAATAAATTTAAATCATTTCATATGCACTATCATATCATTGTCTAGCCTTGCTTACTCAACCCCTTTACATATACACAAGATAAGCAACCAATAACTGAGTTAGTGGGTAGAGATCTCTATGCATACCATCTTCCTCAAGAGCTCTCTGTCTTTTTGTTTGCTGTTCATCAACATCAACATAGTCTGGATCAACTTCTTCAAATGTGCGCTTTTGATTTGACATTTTAGTCATCTAAAACTGAAGGGGAATAATTAGAACAGTCAGGACTAACTACTTGAATTGTGCACTTATTATTTGCCATGTTGTATGAAAAACTGAAGGATTTGAAATTACTTGAATGTAGAAAAAAAAATAATACCAAACAATATCACACACACATTGGCTTTATATAACAGAAAATGAATTTTTTAAATTAAGAAAAACAGATCTTTTTTTCATAAAAACCCAAAATATTGTCTCATTTTTAAGAAAATACATCCATAATGATGAGAACTAAGTGTACAAAACTTTTGTGTATTTAAAATCTAATTTGAGTAGGCCATAATGTAAGCCAATTTTAAATTCTTTAAAACAATGTTTTTGTACCAAATGGAAAAAAATAATTTTGTTCATTCTTTATCATCTCAAAGTGTTTTTGTATGTTTTAATATTTAGAGCCCTACAATGGATTAATTTTTTTTATAAAACCAATCCAAAATATGTAGACTCTATATTTAGATAATATATCTCTAGAATCAAATAGTTTTTCATTTCGCTCAGTGCAATATTATAATAAAGTCTTACATTTTAATAAATAACGAGATTTTGTGAGACAAACAATTTTCATTCATAGCCTTAGGAACCCCATCTAGAGATGTAACCAGAATTAAAATAGGTCCAGCTAGGTTTGGGTCAGAGGTCATCCGTCATTTGCGACATTTCCTCTTCTTCCACAATAAGACAATATAATAAATATGATTTCATTCTATGAAAGTGAAACCTCTAGGCCTATTTTATTTCTTGCTAGTATTATTAATTCTTGTCTGTATAGAATAGACCTAATACTAATAGTCAGATAGTGACTATACTAGGTAGCCTGTTATTTGTTCGTGACCCCTGACCCAAACAATAAAGTGGTGTTGTTTCATCTGTTAATACTACTAAATAGAGAGGGGAGTCAATGAAATGAATGAAAACTGCTACTCTAACTGAAATTCTTTAGGGCCTACTTAAATTTAATTAGTGGTTAATGAAATAATTGTTCTGTGTAAAAAGAAATGTTATTTTTATTAGGCCTAGACGTAGTTTTCTGACCACCTAATATCCTCCTGTCCAAATCACTAAATCTAATATTCTAATTATTTAAGTTGAACAGTGGACCTAATTTAAAGAGCAAATCTTCCGAAACTTAGATTTAGACTGGATTCAGATCTGTCTAACCTAAGGGATCTCTAAGGCTAAGAATGTTGTACTGAATGTGACGAGTGAAAGTCAGTGTCACAGACTACAATTTTGTTTTTCTATTTTTAATATGTGTCTGTGGTGGAGAAAACTTAATATTTTAAAAAATTAGAAACAAAACAGGTTAATAAAATAGTGCAAATATTAGCAGAAATGAGGCGTGAATAAGAGTTGGAATTTAAAAGTAATGAGTTGAGAGAATTGAGATAAATCTAGAAAATCTAGATCTAGAAATAGAGTTTAATTTAATAGAGTGACTGACACTGCCTCTGACACACACACAGACTGACTGAAAAGATGTTCAATCATCGAACGTGGTTTATCTGCTTACTCTAGCGGCTTAAGTATCATGTGCAATCCCGCATGCTGTATTCGTGCATTGATTGCCGTAAATCTTAAATACAGTTTGCTCCACTAATTGTAATTTGCCGAAAGCAGAAGAAATTTGAAAGCGAGCATGAATCTCGAACAAGCAAATGTGTACAATTTCTGTGAAATGGGGTGTAACTCTAAAATCATTTAAATTATTTTAAAAAGTGGATTGGATGCAAAACTAGCATTCTGTTTTTAGAACAATTTTTAATTACTTGAGCTTAAATTAATAAATGAAATTAAATTTGCAAGTGTAGTATTCGTATTTGTTTTAATTTTCAGTAGACCTTACAGATTAAAAAAATTAGTAAAATGCTACGTTCTTTTACATAATTTCTGTAATAGACTAGTCAATTTGATTTATTTTTATTGGCTTTTAGCATTAAAGAAAAAATACAGACAAAATATGTAAGTCTGTGTATCTAAGGGGGTCGTCCTTAAACGATGTCAAGTTTTTTAAAACGATTTTTTACCTCTCCCCCCCCCCCCCCCTCCCCTCCTTCCCATCGTCATACAACATTTGCAGGGAACCTATTCCCCACTCCACACACACCGTACACACACACCCTCGCGCTCAAGCACACACACCCTCGCGCTCAAGCACACACACACACACTGGGCTAAAAAAAATTCAGAGATATTTTCTAATAAACTATGAATAATGTATCGAGAACATCACATGGATCGAGTACATTTTCATTCAAAAAAGGAAGTTCTAAAAATCTTAGAATGTGTTACAAAGACAAAATCTTTAGCCAAGCGTGTCAACCTGGTCATTCAACCATGTAAAAAAAAACTGCAAAATATTATGTTTAAAGAAAATCGATGGCAATGCTGTAGGCTATTTATAGCTTATATTTATATACCAACTTACTAATATACCAACACAACTCAATATATAACAAAGGATAAACCACCCCTTCCCACTTTTTATAATACAATAGCTGCATGTTCTGGTGATAAAGAAATAATTCCTTCATTGTTCTTTCAGTTTTCTGTTGTTTTTATGAAGTTCACACGTCCGCTTGCCATTCCCCCCCACCCCCTATATAATACTCGTGTTTAGCTTCTACTTCTCCTCCCGTACACCGACATACAGTGGCGTAGCCAGGATCGTCTCAAGGGGGGGTTCCAATTTTCACCCGGAGACAAACTTTGGATTTGCACCCCCCCCCCCCCCCTCAGACTTTTGATTTGCACCCCCCCCCCCCCCTCAAACTTTCGAATAGCACCCCGCTCAGACTTTTGATTTGCACCCCCCCCCTCATACTTTATATAATAACCGAGGGGTCTATGGTGGGGGGGGGGGGGGTTATGACCCCCCCTGCCTACGCCACTGCCGACATAATATCAAATTAGATAAAGTCATCATAAAGTGGCAGAACAGATCCGGTCGACTGACTTTCCAGGTGGGGCGAGGAAATTTGCTACATGTAACAACAGGTTGAGCCACAGTAAACAATGGAGCCATGTCTAGGCCTCCTGGTGGTAGGCCGATATGTATATTTTATAACCCATTGAACACCCCGGGTGTAACATTGATCTGTTTTTTCAAGAATTGACACGATAGACGAAACCTGACATTAAAACTTATCTAAACAAAAGGGGAAATAACGATTGCATGCGTGAAGAGATATCGTATGATAGTAGCTGTAATTGGTTTTTATTGATTACTTCCCCTGTGATCGTAGGTTGCTCCATGTGTGTTTTCATGAATATAAATATTTTGCTCCTCTAAATAGAAGAGCTGTTGTTGGAAGAGGTAGGCCTACAGCATGACATCCTAATGAAATTTCAACCATGGCATCCTGATGACATTTCAACCATGAAACTATGACATTTTAACCAAGACATTCTAATGAAATTTCAACCATAACACCCTAATGACATTTCAACCACGAAACAATGATATTTCAACCAAGACATCCTAATGAAATTTCAACCATAACACCCTAATGACATTTCAACCACGAAACAATGATATTTCAACCAAGACATCCTAATGAAATTTCAACCATAACAACCTAATGACATTTCAACCATGACTCGAATGATAATTCCACAGTAATCTACAGTAACTAACAAACCAAATTGCCTGTGCTGTAGTGTGAAAGTTAGGCAAACGATCACAGCACTTCCATGACTTGATGGACCTAACTGCATGAGCTGTAGTGTGAAAGTTAGGCAAACGATCACACCACTCCCATGACTGGATGGTCTTCTTTCAACAGTCTAACAGGGAAGTGCGTAAAGGTAAGCCATCTTGCTACAGGATTCACACTTGAATGAAGATACGTGACGTCACTAAAGAAATCACACTTGAATAAAGATAAGATATCTCTATGGAGGTAAGTGGGGTGGGGGGGGGGGGCTTATGGGGGCGGGGGCACCCACCCACTTCTGTTCACACCTGGAAAAAATATTATATATATATATATATATATATATATATATATATATATATATATATATATATATATATATATATATATATATATATATATATATATATATATATATATATATATATATATATATATATGTAACGAGTCTATTTGCCTGTAGTGCCAAATGTTAACGAGTCTAACCACTCATTCTACACAACATCGACCACAGTATAGATACTCGAAGATGCAGGTTCACTATTGATCCTTTTATTACATGAATCAAAGAAATGTTTCACAATAATATAATGAATCAAAAGAAATGCTTCACAATAATAGTCGGAATCAACTGACCCCCAACAGTCCTCACTAGTCTTCACATAACTGAATGCACATGTCTATCGTCCTTATTAACACAATACGGCCAACCCGTTCCATAACCAACTTGATACTGATCCTGTCACTGTCTCTGATACTCCTCTTACTGACTGACTGATCCCCTACTCTACAGTTCGGCCTCCCCTTCTCAACTGTCGCCTTCCTATATATCCCTTGTATTCGTAATCGGATTCGTAATCGTAATCGTAATCGTAATCGATTCTAATCGTTGCATCAGAATGTTAATTACGCCGCTTCTGTCATACAGTCCGATTAATAAGCCATCTGCACTGTTGCGTCAGCCTGTGAACTGCGCAGCGGCTTTGTGATCGTTATCAGCCTAACACCTGCACTATTGCGTTGTTATCGTCTCTGGTAACTACACCTAGTTACATCCACCGCCGCCTTTTTTTGTGTGTTTTCAACCACAAACAACGCTTGGTAGGTGCACCTCTTTAATGTCAATCTCACCATCGTAAAAAAAATTTATTGTTCCATTCACTGTCAATGTCGTCCCATTCGTAAAAGATTGACAGTTATCCCTATTTCACATATCAAATGTGTCTACATCATAGTCCTCAGACACAAGGTAGTCCTAGAATTCACATCCACCTTTTTCGTTTGGTGCCTTCACCAGTTCACTTGTATAACTTTTTGAACAGTCTGTTCTCATACCAGCGCGACCATGAAAGAATTGATGGTTGCTGACGAAAAATTTCGTATTCTTTCTGTTTCTCAAACTTCTCCGCGGACCACTTATCTGATGGTCTACTGTCTCTCTGCTTCTGGGAGGATCGGGATCCTCATTGTTGCCGTTATCCTCCCCTTGTGTATCGCTGTTGCGCTGTTGATGGTGACATGGTTCCGGGATGGGTATGTGAATTTCCGTTATAGTTTCCGGTTCCCTAATTGTCTTAGGTTTCCTTGTGTGTAACTGCTCTTCTTGACTATGACAATATTTCTTTAATTGAGCAATATTCGCCCACCGATCCGGTTTGGTGTGATCGATGGGTCTTATCTTAAAGGGGCCACCTGCTACTTTAGGCATCTCCACGACTTGCCATATCTCCTGTCCCCAGAGGTCGTGGATTTTGTTTCTGCCTAACGGGTGGCTACGCAGTAATACCCTGTCGTTCAGTTTGAGTGGCGGGTCCTTTGTCTGTACCGGCGGTTCCCTTCGCCGTGCTTCATGTTCTAGTCTTTCCTGTACTACCCTGTACATTTCTCTAATTCGTCTCATATGTTCATTCACATATTCCAGTGCGGTGTATGAGCCAGTCATACTTTCCTTTTTCCCTAGGAACAAGTCAAGAGGGAGTCGAGCCTCCCGTCCGAACAGCAACATGTGTGGCGAAAAGCCGGTTGTGGCATGGGGGGTGCAGTTGTATAGATATACCAACTCCGGGAGAAAATCAGGCCAACGTTTTTTCTGTTCAGGTTCTAGAGTACGCAGCAAATCATGCATGCTGCGGTTGAACCGCTCGCACTGTCCGTTTCCTTTCGGATTAAATGTGGTTGTTCTAGATTTGTTGATCCCGTAGTGGCTGCACAGTTGGTTAATTACTTCTGACTCGAAGGCCCTTCCTTGGTCAGAGTGTAATTGTCTTGGTATGCCATATTTGATGAACCAATGTTCTATTAAGACCTTTGCCACTGTTTTGGCAGTCTGATCTCGTGTGGGCACCGCAACAGTCCATTTGGTGAATACATCAGTCATTACCAACACATGTTCCGTCCCATCCGATGATTGCTCCAACGACGTAAAGTCCATAGCCACAATCTCTAGTGGTTTTGTCGCCAGTAAGTGTCCTGACGGCTGTCTCATTTTGACAACTGGCATTTTCGCATGCTGACACCTAACACAAGCCTCACAATGGCGTTTGACCTCCATCTCCATATTGGGCCAGTAACACCGCCGTCGTAATATTTTGTGCGTCCTGTCCTGACCCTGGTGTCCTGCCCTGTCATGTGCCAACTTTAGCACTTCTTCTCGTAACTGTCCAGGCACCACCACCTGGTGTATTGTCCCGTCTATTTGGTCATGAATTCTCCGCATGAGAACACCATCCTTTATACTGAGACGGTCCCACTGACTCAGTAGTTTCTTTGTTTCTCGACCAAACTGTTCTCTTTCCCTTCTTCTTGGGAATTTTTGTTCCTGGACGTATTTCAATAGCGGCTGTAACCCACTATCCGTTCTCTGGGCATCTCTTATCTCTTTATTGTTAAGGCAATTAAAATCACTAATGTCCATATGACGGGGCTCTGTGGATATGTGCTCCACCACAGTCTGCCCGTTTTGCATCACCTCTACTTCTTCAATAGAAATGTGCAAGACTTCTACT